TTGGTGAAGATTGGGTTGAGTGAAAAAGTGGAAATTTATAGACATTATAGTAGGTGTTCAATAGTTCTCTGAATTCTCCTTGCTTTATCAGCCTGAACTGTGATTCGTTATTGGTATTTGGGGGAAAACTTTTATTGCCTGAGTGTGCTCTTGAAGAGCAAAGGTATTTGAAATAAATTAATGTATTAATTTGCTGAAGATATAGGCTAAAAATAGCTAAAATAATATTAACAGTTTCTCATTAAATTTTTCTTCTCTTGAAATAACATGAAAGTTTGATTATTCGTTTACAAAGTGAAAAGTTACAAAGGTCCAAAACTGTTTTGCACCATTTAACGTGAAAATGTGGAACACCTTCATAATAGTGACCCAAAATAAAGGTACCTTTGCCACGAGTAGAAAACTAAAATTCTATTTGCATAACGGGGCTACGGCGTAAAGATCCTGTATCTTATATAGATTGCTTTTTACAGGTTAGAATCTAATCCTTAAAATGTGGTCATCTTTATGATGCTGAAGCATCCGTTAAAGGCTTTGATCCTTCCTAACAGTAGCCGTCTTGTATAACGATGCCGGTATTTATATGATAAGGAACTGTTACAGAACTTCTTTAGGAACTATATTAATAATTAATACTTTCTACAACAGTCACGACATAGTACAAACACACGTGCTCCGTTTGGATCGGTTTGTTTAACAGCAAGATGGATGAATATGTCATTACGAAAGTATTAGTTAATATAATATGATGTTACATATAAAATATTGATTAGTTTTCTCCCACCTTTTCGCCTACCTTTATGATATAACTGGGAGCACACTCGACCTTGACGTGTAATCGGGAGGTTTGGAGTTCGAATCCCGCCAAGGGCATTGCGGATTTCTTCAGTTTCCCAACATCAAAAAACCTAATGATTGTACGTATTGTATTGTATATAATTTGCCTATTATTTTATGAACTTTTGAGAAAAAGAAACAAAGAAGTGGCAGTTTTAAATTTTGACAAGAACTGCAATTTTTACTAAACCAACTATCATAAAACTTCTTCCAAACTTCCCAAGCGCTAGTGAATGGTTGTGAATATTTTTGGTGGAGCGCAATGTGAGTTGCGATACTGCAATTAAATAACGTAAAAAAAAAAAAAAAAAAAAAAAAAAAAAAAAAAAAAAAAAAAAAAAAAAACTGATAAATTATTATTCTAGCAACGCGGTGAACCCTCTCTTAATGATTACCTCAAAAATTGATTAGTATTTGTTGGAGTATATTGTTTATTAAAGTAGCTTTTCAAATTTGACCACTTCCATTAGAAGACCAAAATTATCTGGAATTGTGAATAGTCGACTCAGTGAGAATTCACTGATCTGCTCTATAAGTTGTTTTATTAATATTATAAAAGAATATGGTAACTGTAAAAGGCTATCTCATTCATTTAGCATAGTTTTTTCTTAGCCTAGTTTTAGTGTAAAAATGTTTATTTTGAGAAATTACCATACGTGGTAAAAGAAAAGTCGCCAAAATACTAACACGCATATTTAATATAAAATCTTTTGAGGGTTTTGATGAGTGTCCATAATAATCTGATGCATTTGCTTCAGCAGTAGCTATCGTTGGTTGTACAGAAATAAAACTAAGATTAGAAAATAATTTATTTTTAATTTAATTATTCAGAAGCCGCCCAGACGGTATAGTGGTTAGGGAAGCCTGACTGCGATACCGAATGGCCTGGGTTCTAATCCCGGAGAAGGCATGGTTGTAACTGTCCGTCCCCCTTCATAGGAGGCGATAGTGGCCCACCTATTAAGGTCTCCGTAATAAAGAAACCACCACATCTGGCCTTGTATAGATTAATGGACTGTGTTGCACTGTAACTGTTGAATCTTTTTTTTTTTCATTTAATTATAAGAATCTTTAAAAAATTATGCGTATATATATGTGATGTACCAGCTTTAGTCGTAGCTTAAATAATCAGACGATAAGTTTTAAAAAACAAAGGATCCATTTATTATTATTCAGTAGAAATAGCAGTTACAAAATCAGCTATCCGGAGTAAATAAAAAGAATTACTAATAACGTTTTGTATGAAGTTTACTGCATCGTGACATTTAAGAAAAAGCCCCGATCTTGGATCTTGGATCATATCTTTACTGCTGGCTTTAGCTACTAGGAGCTCTTACCAGTATATTATCATTTTACCATAGGCCATAAAGTTAAAAATTTAAGAGGTGTATTTAAAATACACCGCGCCCGAAGGCGAAATCAATAAATGAGAGAACTCATAAAATAAGTTTTGCTAAATTGCATATCATGGCATAGCATGGGTGATTATATACGTAAATGGTGGCGAGAAGCGAAATGAAAGTCTAAGCTTATGAAGTCAAGAAGTGCAGAAACACGTTATCAGCGTCCGGCATTTAGATTGGTCGAGGAGTCAGAGTTCGAAAAATGAAGTTTTTGTAGTTTTTGGCAATAAATAAAGTTCGAACATAGTAAAAGCAACATCTATTTGTGAATTTAAGAGTCCTATGTCTTTTGAAACACTTGAAAATCTTCTAAACTTGCGATATAATCATTAAATGAATAGGAAACTGTAAAAGGCGAAAATGAGGTCATGTAGCTCACTAGGGCTAATGAGTGAGAGTAAGCACTTGGTGTTACCGAACTTTGATTTTAAAACACATGATACGAAATAGTAAAAATAAAAAGTAAAAGTAAAAATCTTGGTTAAATAAGTAGTAAAACGAAGAATTCATCGATGAAAAATAAAGTCCTAATTTTGCAAAGTTCATCTTTCTTGAATAGTAACTGCAAAGGAATAGTAATTTTTTTTTTTTTTTTTTTTTTTTTTTTTCTTCTACATATTATATACACTACCACCACTTAGAATTGTGGTGGATCGTTCGAGGTCTTTTCACTACGTTCCCCGATATTCTTCTGCGAGTCTTTTTATAGCCTCTGGAAAGGCGGAGCTTCCAAGAAATGACGTCAGCCAATCCAGTTCGCTCTAAATATCTCGAGAACATTCTAAAACTGTACGTGTAGAAAAGGCGGGAGAAACAACTTGACTACGGGGCTGTGGATTTAATTCCACGTACTTTCAAATAAGAGAACGTCGCCATTAAAAATGAAAAGAACATACAGTTAGAATTTTAAGTGTATTCTTAACTATGGAATTTTATTATTACAAATATATATATAATTTGAATTATAACTTCATTCTGATTGAATTAAGTGGAATGTGAAAAATTAAAAGTTGGTTATAATATGAGAAAAGAGAATTCTGAAAATTTTTCTGATAATGCAGTAATTATACGTATATCTCACAATTCTGAAAATTAAACTGTAACTTTGGCATAATTAATTAACTTAAACAGATCCGATGATTCGCTATGTTTTCAGGCCCTTTCTTAAAAAATGCATGATATGCGTTAAAAAGAAAACATTGCTCAATGCAAATCGGCACAAGCTTGATGCGACTTGCTGATTAATAAGAGTTAGATGCAATCAAATTTATTCCATAATTAAATCGTAGTGTACTTTTAAATTCGTTATGGGAACAATATAACTTTTAATCGTCTTCGTGTAAAAGCCGGTGCCGAAAAAAAAATGCTCTGCAAAATGGATTCTTTGTCCCCAATCAAAAGCATCTGAAGATCTGCCCTAAAGCCTTCATCCAGTGATCGTTAATCACGACTGACATGGAAGAACGAATAATTGGATAAAATCGCTGCGGGGAAAAAAAAAAAAAAAAAAAAAAAAAAAAAAAAAAAAAGAACGTCTTTGCTTTCGAAACGTGAACAACAAACAAAATGGCGCGAAGCGTAATGTCCGTGGAGGATTCTTTTTTAGCTCCTCGAAGCAGCGATTTGTCGAGGCCTTCTAAGACAATAACGGGAGAAAGCGTTAAAGTGAATTGCATTCCAGGAGCCACACTGTTTATGGGCCAGGAAAACGCTTCGGGTTGTTTTAATAACAAACATCCTTTAATTTCCGTGCAGCAGATTGGCCTTTATGTACCATCTACTACTTTGAAATGGTTTGATAGCCTGGGGATGTTGGTAGCTTATAAAGTGCGATAATCCATACTGAATATTTAGGTCGCAAGTTCTTTTTTTTTATTGCATTTTTTAAATATGTGCATAAGGTAAGAAAAATATTGATTATTTTTTAAGTGATACAGGAGTTTTCAGTTTTTCGTGATCCGCTGTCTCGACTGCTTTCACTTTTAGGCAGAAACCATGCGTACGCTCTTCTGATCTGCTGTGTATCTGGTTTTTAAGTTCTAGAATATATCTGTGGATTAAAAAAGTCTCTTTCAATGATTTGCGATTTCCGACGTTAATATGGTCTTTAACGTGTCGAATAAACGTAGTACACTTTGCAGAACTCTCATATCGGTGAAATGCATAAAATGTCGATTGTTAAGGATATTATGTGAAAGGCTTCCAAATTGCATGTACTATGAACCCTTTCATTCTGCCCATCTTCCTAAGACGACCATTTCTGAAAGTGATCAGCATTTTTAAGACCTTATAAGGCATCGGTGTTAACATCACCACCGTAAGAAAGGCAATAGCAGAAAAGACATTTCGTTCAGATGAAGTAAGACACCAGGCAGTGCATAAGTGGCTGCGCTCTTGACGACAAGAATTTTGCAAGAGTGGCTGCGAACAGAACCACATAAATCCCCCCCCCCAGAGGAATCCGCGCTGAACGCTGGAAGAAGTGTGCTGAACTTTAAGGAAAGTATGTCGAAAAATGGTACATTTGTATTCCACTGTTGTTCAATAAATCACTCGTAAAAAATATTTAAGATTTTCATTTGGCTCCTCCCCCCGTAATGTATCGGGTGATAATCATCTCTGTTTTGTTCTTCGAGTCACATAAGATTATATGACTGATTTATTAACATTCGAACTGTAATAAATGCATTCTGTGTTCTGAGTTAAGTTTAAAATGTGTATTTTCCACTGAATGTTTTACATCTTTATAATTTTCAGGATGCTGCAGTGGTCAAGTGATGCGGGGTGATACCAAAGATGTGGTCGAAGGAGAAACCTTAAGGTTACCGTGCCGATTCCAGTCGCCTCTCGTGACGAGTACAACCCAATATTTCTGGAGCCGGGACAACAAGAACGGCAAAGATAACGCGGCCATCAATGCCGCTGCCCTTGATCCTCACTATAGCATTGACTTCAGTCCTCAGGAAGGGAAGTACGATCTGCTGATTTCCGAGGCCAACTATGACAAAGACAATGGAAAATTTGAATGTTGGTTGAAGGAAGGAGGCAGCGGATTCGACATTTTCAGCCAGTCCTATGTTGTTACGGTTCTCAGTAAGTACCGATTATTTTTATGATTTTCTGTTGTATATTCATATGAATTTTGTCCACCATCATTCAGTACAAAAAATCCGAATTATAAAAAGCAACTTCGTGATGGGATTTTATCCTTGCTTGTAGAGAAAGGAGTAAATAGGTACTTTTGGGATACAAGGAACTTGGATGCCCTAATCATATTGTTTTAGAGATGCATAAGTAGGTAAGATTGTAGTTTAGGGCAGAAAAAGAGCGTCCACCCATAGAAATTTAGCTATGCTGTTCTTTTCATTTCATCGACAATTTGGGTGATAGCCCATGCGCTAAAATATCTCGAACAGTAATGTGCTTCCGATTTTATAACTAATATTTGTTCAAGCATCAAATGAAAAGGTTACCTGGCGTTAATTTTCATACTGAGACCTCTTAAATTCCATGGCAGTTGATCGTGTATATTTTAGTCGATTTGTATGATTTTAAATTCATTTTTTCTTCTGAAATTAGAGACATTCAATTTAAAAATTTTCTGCAAAATAAAAAAAAATTGGACACTAAAGAATCACAAAGCTGAAAATGCGTAATGTTACAGATAAATATGCTTTCATAAATGATTAAACACTAAATAATTTTTCGAAGGAAGAAATAATTTGCAGTTTTATGTAAGTAGTTTTGATATTTACAGACACACACACACACCCCAAAAAAAAATTACAACGAAAATAAATGGCCCAGTATCAACTAAAACTGGAGGACGAGGATTTCTGTAATAAGGCATTGGCAAAACCAGTCTAGCAATCCTGTTCATATCTTGAGACGTACTGTCTCCACCTATGCCATGCGACCTGGATATTCCACTAAATATCATGCGAAGACAGCTGACGAGGAGTTTTAAAATTAATTGCTTACGCTCATAAAATTCGTAGGCTTAGTTAAAACCCATTTTGATAAAACCCCGTCCTACGGAAATCGTTCCTGAATTTTGCGTTTTGTCTCTCATACCTTTGCTATTCCGCTTGTAAATGGATCACTTTCCTTAGTTCTTTAGGCTCTGAAAAAAAAAAGGGGGGGGGACAAAGAACATAAGCTAGTTTCTTCTTTCTCAGATTCAACGGAGCCCCATCTATCGGGTGATGCAAACGCAAATCGTCTTCGCTTATGGAGAAAACATCTCGTCCTGGTAGGGATCTTCGATCATTTGAGTGCTGATTTTTCCCTTTCAGGCAACCTGGTCTGGGTGTGAAATAAACGACTCTTTCGCAAGCTCAGCCTAGCGTATATCTGTAGAATGGGAATAAAAGAAGCCACTCTGTTAAATGAAGCCTGAAAAGGGGGAACGCTTCTAAATAATAAAAGGCGCACGAAAATAAAAGAAAGTCTCCTAAGTTCTGCGCAGACTTAACTGGAAATGCCGGTTATAAAATGCTCTTATAAGAGAAGAAATAAAAAAAGATGCTTTAACTGCCTTTCCAGATAAACACTAATTCATCCATACAGTGAACACAGTGGTTTCGTACTGTAAAGTTATTTCCTGTACGGATCATCGAGCAGCTTTTAAGTTTCTGCCAGAGTAAGTCTGGAGAGGAAATAATTACTTTGCGAAAGATAGCGGCGAATTTTAGCGAGTTAAGAAAATTTATGTGAGACTACTTTTTCGATTTTTATATATTTCGTGAGGCATTTTATACTCTTTATAAGACTCTTACCTCCTTCTGTTATTATAGAAGCAAATTATAGAGCCAGCATGGTAAGTAAATACATGGTGTGGTGTATGGTGTATTTAATTATGGCAAAGCACACGAGGGCTATCTGCCTAAGGGGAGGGATGCCTTCGTGGAGGACTTTCTAAGGAAAACTGACTCGTACCACGAAAACGCCCATGCAGCCAGCCCGTTCGCGGGATTCGAACCCCGAACCGAACTACTAGTGTTCAGCGACTTTACCGCTCGGCCGCTGGTGGGCCTGTAAGTAAATAAATGAAACAAAAATACTCAGGCCTGATCGTCAGATGTAGAGCTTATCCAGGATTTCACATTTAAAGTGGCCTCCAAATCCTCTATGATATTTAAAATATATCAAACTTTAGGCATATTTTTAATTTTAAGTTTTATAAAGTTTGTAGAGTCATTAGATTATTCTGAAGCAGGAGACGTGAAAAATATGCAATCCCCTCGCCTTAACTCGAACCTGGACCTCTCGAACACGAAAGCATGCTGCAAGGAAAGAGAAAATACCTTATAAGTTAAAGGCATGGAAAAGCGGAGAAGTAAGGACAGATAGCCCTTATTTACTGGGCAGATAGCCCTTATGCGCTTTTTGCTTTAATTAATTAACCTAATCCAAATTTTTATAAAAATAAGATCCTGGTTTAAAATGTATAAACCTATATTTTATTCAGCGCATAATAAACAGAAATAATTTTTTAAATAATTTTGAATGAAAAAATATTGAACTATTAAGTTATTTCACAAAATGTTTTCTGTACCTGGCATCGATGACATCCGCTATATTAGGGAAAAAAACTATAGGAAGGCCTACTCAAGAAATTTTGCGCCTATCTTTCGTTTTGTTACATTAACAATACCATTAGTGGGGGAAGGGGGAATTAAAGAATTAAATAATAATTAAAGAAAATTTTAAAATACATAAAAGTCTAAATTGAGAATTAAATTGAGGCCGAAAATGTCTCTTTAGTCTGTATTAATTCAGAAAATAATGGTGACCAAAATGCAGATTGTTCAACATGGCCTGAAATATCTTTCACTGCAGGACATGGCGAACATCCTCAAGATGAAGAATATAATTGGCATCTTCATCACCGATACCGCAACTGCACACTTTATTTGGAACAAATATTTATCGCTTTAGATAACTCTTAATGTTGCTGTGTCCATACAGAGTACGAATCAGTTTAAAATCTGCCGACAATTGATTAATTTTTAATGTATGGAAAAACTGCAGGGGAAAACGTTTTGGTTCAACATGCTTTTGGTGGTGCAGTGTATTCTGAGTTCCACATGCAGTTTGCATTTTGTAAATAAAAGAACTTCCATTTAGAAGCTAGAACGGTTAGATTTAAATCTACGTCAAGATTTATCTATGTCAAGATTTATGGCTAACTTTGCCAAAGCATCTGTCTTCTCATTTCCAGAATTTGCTCGAACATAAGCAAATATCTGTTTATTAATTGTTGAAAATGGGCCGTTAAGGATGAGTACCTATGTATATGCTGAAAACATCGACCCGAGTGTCAGTCGCGTTAACAGCTATGTTCGCATAGAGTAATCTGGTTAAAATCCTTTTATGATGAGCCTTAAAAATCCTTTTATGATTAAAATTATGATTTTATTAAAATCTTTTTATGATTATTTATCCGGTATGTAGACCCTTTCATTATGAGCCGTTAATAAGCAGTAGTTAATTTTTCAGTTGAGCTTTACTACAAGCATTTTCAGTGAAGAGAACAAAGAACTTCAATTATTGTGCTGATGTTACAGAATTCTTACCTCCTCTAGTTTATTTCTTTCTCATAAATCGGACACAAAGGGTCGATAAGAAGGCATCCAAACGAACAAATGAATTAGGTCAGTCGTGAAAACCGAGACTGAGAATCGGTCGAGATTTCGTCTGGGGAGAAAAGGGGAAAGCATAAAAGCCGTAAAGGTTTTTTTTTTTTTTTTTTTTTTTAAACATCCATTCGGGATGTCTCTCTTATCCTTTTTCTTAGATAGTTTCAGCATGACACCAACTATCAGAGCGAGAGATATGGTTCGTTTACAGCACTCGTAGCGCCATCTATCGTCTCCGGCGAGAGGTAATTTCCGCATCTGTCGATCGATCGATGAATTTGCTCATCGATGAAGGCTTTTATCCGCGACTGTGACGTCATAGAGTTGGGTAGAGGTGTCGGATGTCGCCAGGACGGCGGAGGTCAAGGCTGCATATCCGGCCGTTCTTTCTTTTTCCGATGCCTCCTTTCGCATCCCTGCGCATTTGCGGGAATATTTTGGAAAAATAAGTCTACCGTAGAGGTTTCCCCCTCGCCGAGAAAGAAACACTTTTGAATTCCCGCCCCCAGCAAACGAACTGTCATGTTCAGTTAAACTGGAGCATAAAAATGAGATGAGCCTTTGTTTTGGCATTGCATTGTTCTCGAAAGACAAAAACGTCTTCATGGGTTCCAGCACTGCATAACATTAACCCCCAGGTTTCCCAAACGTTTAAAGCGATTTAAAATGCGAATTGTATATACTTTTCTTAACGTAATGTAAATTATCTCCTAGTACGTGTATTCGGTACCTGTTACGGGTCATTAATAATGAATTCAGTGAGTTTTAGTTTAATTTATACGGAAGTAATGAAATACCTTCCGTATGGATCAAATCTTCCAGAACATCATTCTCGCAGGAATAAAAGATGAGATATCTAAAGCAAAGCATTCGCGAATTCCCCTTCTCAGTTTTCTTTTACAAAATGAGAAACTTTGGCATATTCTTACCTCTTTACTTATATCTAGAAAATGGGTGGTGCATCAGCGGCCCACCAGATGTCAGCTTGTGGGCCGCGCAGCTGAGTCATATTTGAACAAAACAAAACAAACAAACAAACAAAAAATCCTATCCCAATAAAGAGCATTCCATCATTGTGCGCTGATATAGTGGCAAAACGGAGATGTGTTATGCAATGCTGCAAGACTGGACGCCAGCCAATCAGCGGCAACCTCTCAACGAGTGGGTTGCTCCCTTTGTGTGCATTATTGCCACGTGTCTGATGAGATTTTGCGGTCGTCGTTGTAATAGTAGTAAGAATAGAAGTTGCTGTAACGTGTCATCTTTATCGAGACTTTTTTTTTTTAAGTACAATGAAGATGAGCAAGCGAAGCTTTCATTTCTTAATTTTTTTAATATTAACTATTAATACTGTAAATCATTTGTAATTCGTTTGTTTCACATTGACTCTTGAAATCGAGCGCATTAAGTGGTCATGAAATGCTCATTTTATAGGGTTTTTTTTTTTTTTTT